CTTCGGTTTCGCATAGCTTTTGCTGCTCCTGCTTGACAGCTGGAAATATTTCTGGGAGCGCGGCGACTAGGTCGACGATGTCCTCAATGAGCCTCTTAAAGTGCTTTTCCTCATATAACGCCCACTTCACTTTCTGACGCAGCAACGTTTTGTTCTGTCGCTTGATACTAAGGTTGCGCATCTTCTCGTGTAAGGAGCGACCTAATTCGTTCATGTCTGCCTGTACATCGAGGATAGTGAGGGCAGAGTCGTCCGATTTGACGGAGGCCTTATATTTTGCAGAGATCCTCTCGGCTTCCATGAACAGATCTAGTATCTGACCCAGTACTTTTTCTGCATTGCCTATATCTTCTTTCTGCACTGTTGCTTCTTGCAGTGATTCAGCATCTGCAAGGTCTCCGCTTAGGCCCACGGCTTGGCCCCAGCGTGAAAGTCGAAGCCTTGCATGATCCAGCTTGAGCAGGCTAGTTTGAAAATTGGTACCGAAGCTGTAGCCAAGCTGGACGTACTCGAAGCAGTCCACGGCGTTGTTGAAGAGTCCCGCGAGCGCGATAACGCCAACGGCGAGACCACCGGCTTCCATAGCTAAGGTCGTTCCAGGTAAGGGCGTAATGTAATGGATGGTCAAGGTCAACAGTCTATGGAGTCATCGACTTGTCGAGAAGTGAGTCAGTGCAAGATATAATCTGGGAAGTGGATATCTTAGATATGTGCCGTGATTGCGTGGCGCAGCGCCTCTCAGCTGCGGGGTTGGTTGTCAATCCTGCCTCATGAAGCGCCTAAAGAGAACCCGCCTCTGCCACAGCTGATAGAGGTTTCTACTACTCTATCTATTGCTATCAGGCACCTCGTTGCTTTCTCTATACTCTAGTAATTATTTTTTTTTGTATTATATTTTTAGGTTATTATTTGTTATATTTTGCTTTTTAAAAGTATCTACATTATTTATTTGAAAGTAATTGTTTATCTGTTTCAGTTAAGGCTGGAAGTTCTGTCGTCTCCATTATTATTTAAATGAAAATCTTTTTCATTTAAAATTATTAGATGATAATTTAGCTAAATAGCTTTAAGAATTTTACATATTTCATCTAAGACTTTACTCCTCTGTCTAACAACAGTTTTATGCCCGTAAGAGTTTCTAGTTCTATTCTATAACTATCTACACTACAGCATGAAGGGTGGATTCTAACGTATATAAGACTCTATCCTTCTACATAATACCATCCTTATGCTCTTAAGATATTACAATCTTATTGTGAAGCTGTTCTGGCCACGGCATAAAGGATTATTCCTACTTCCTTGTTGTGGGTCACAAAGTTGACGTACGGATCTACCCACCGAATTCCCTACGAAACTAACCTATAATAAAGTACTCCCTGCAGTCTGCCAAGCCCTAGTCTTGTTTGGCTTCGATGCGTAACACACGTGATACAGCCGCTGTACTGACGCATAACAAACACATCAACGAGAACCTCACACAATTATCAGTCCTCGCTTTTACCATTCTCTTTTAGCCACGCGGCACAATCCTCTCAAGATCTTTCGACACTCCTACTAACAGTGGATGAGTCAAAGATTGAGCAAAGCAACAGTATTGGACCGCACATACCGACAGAACCCGTCCTCAACCTGAATGGAACGCAGCACTACAAAACATCAACAACCAGCCTCTTCGTACAGGTCTCGTTCTGGACAAGTCAAGGAATGAGGAAATGGACAACGTTACTTTGCGTGCAACAACATATGCCCCTAGAGAGACGAAATCTATATCACAAAGGATAGACGACTTCGAGAATGAGTTCTGGGGCATTACGGTCTGCAGGAGAAGAATCAGCCTACCAAACAACGACTTTTTGTTCGAGCCAGCTTACGCCATGAACGAGGGATGCTCCCAACACATGCAGGCTGCAGTAATCAATGAGTTGCAAATTGGATCTGTCTATCGTGTTCCGCAATGTGCCCTCCAGCAGGTCATGGTCGTTGATCTCTTCAAATGCACCCACCATCAAGGTAGCATGACTGTTGTTGCCTTAGTCTTCGACATCAAGACTGTGCGGAATGCCGTCAAACCTGGATGTACCTGGCCAGATCAACTCAAGGGCGACCAGATGTGCAACTGCCTACTTAGCAGTATCTTCTTTACCGTTAACGCCTTCCTCTTCCGCAGCCGATTGGAGTTTGTTCGCTCGACGGTATCCCCTCGCTACGGCTTCAATGCTCACCGCGGCGATCTAGAAGAGTTTGATAGATCGTTCACGGGGGTGAATCGTGCCTTTTCTTCGTACCACGGTCCACTAATGGAAATGTTGCAGTACCCCACCTTTGAGATGATCAAGCGCTGCTTAGAACGCTACAAGACTGTTCGGAAAGTCACCATCAACATTACAGACCTCGGCTCCGATCCGGTTGCCAAAGACGAACTCGTGAGAGGAATGGATTTGATTCAAGCCATGAGAAAGGATATCACATGGGATGTACACTATTCTTGTGATGGTGAAGAAAGCCTCGAATACCGAACGGGCACGTAGTTATCCTCAGACATTCCCTAACTACAGTAGGAGTGGCAGGGGAGAGGGTGATAATTAGAGTTAAGTAGCCACAATGTAACGATATCTCTGTTTGTAATGCTGAGTACATGAACAGCTACCGTGAGTGTTTACTATCTAACTCCTAGTTCTCGCCGGCGGTTGCTTTGCAAACTTGAATCAAGCCTAGGTGGGCTCTCCTTTCCCGTTCAGGAATCGAGATTGCCCAGAGGGATATGAACAAATCGTTGCAGTAGGTAGAACATAGATATCCTAACATACCGCATACTCTCACTACTGCAATACTACCCTTACTGTGCAATCCTTTCTTGGGCCCACGCCTGTGGGTTGTCTCTCAGGAAGCTATCGTTCTGCATGGCACGTAGGAATGTAAAACAGGCAAAGGAGGATAGTTCAAACAGACGCTTGGGCAGGGGGGTTGGCCAGCACCCAATCCATAGGCCACGGGAGATGTTGACCTTTCGTTTACGACTTTTTAGGACTTGGATCATGTGCCGGGTACGGTGAAGGCTCTGTATGCTCCCGATGCGCATGGCATGGCCGGAGTTGCCGGGTGTATGACAAGGGTCGTAGATGGACAGCTTGAGATTGTTAGCTACATTAATGGCCGCCCACTGTGAGTCACGCACCTTCTGCTGTTGAAGCATGAGTATGCTGTAGTACAGCCCCGAGCTACGCTCCAAGAATTCTGCGATTGTGGCGACCCTGTTGGGTCTCCATTGCCCTACAAGGAGCCATATCTGACCGCTTTGGAGTGCTCCTCCTGCTGCTGCCGCCTCGCACGAGCTTGCATGGCCGATCTCGGAATGCGAAACAAGATCGACTGCACCTGCTCTTGCCGCCGACTTGTGGGCAGAACTGTTGAACTGGATGGGTTGCTTGAATACGCGCCAGCCGGGGATGGCCATCGTCGTGAGCAGTTGAACCGCATCAGCCATGGGGGCCCTGCTGTGGAAAGGACCCAGGACAGGGCGATGGGCAAGAAGAGCCCTGTAGTAGTGTTCTAATTCGGAAGCAGGCTCCATGACCTTAATGCGCTCGTGGCATGACGTACACATACCCCCGTAAGGCAGATCGACGACCTGCAGGCGGCAATGTGCCACCACACACCGCTCGACGTTGGCACGAAGCAGAACCTGCTGGTAATCCCCTGGTGTGCGGACTCCGTATGGAAATGGTACTTTC